GTTTCATTCCAAGTTGGACCCATTCCATTTGGAAAAGAAAAAAGAGATCTTTGTGCTCTTCAGATTTCTCCAAAATCATTAGGGTTTCAGTTGGGTTTTTCCATATTCACTTGCCTCCTCCCTCCTTCATTTCCCCCAAAATTCTCCATTAGGGTTTCAGAATCCATAGGAGCGAAGTCATGTCGAGCCTTCAAGCAGTCGGCATAACACATCTCCAATTTCGGCTGAGTAAGTTCTGCCCTTGCGATGCAACGGTTCCGATCAAGACCTCCATGAGCTCAGATAATCCAAAAGATACATTTGCCCCTTTTTATTGATAGATGGGTAAAGTTTTTTTTTTTTTTCCTATATATTTAGTTAGCTCAATTTACATAATTTATCATCCTATTATTTAATGTGGGTTTGAAATTAGAAGTAAGAAATTTGATTTATCTATTCTGTTTAGGAAGCTCGCATGGATTCTATATGATTAATGGAAAGCTCCTTTGCTTTTCGAAAAAAAAAAAAAGAAATAATGGAAAGTTATTTTAATATGGCTAGAAATGTAGGAAAAATGTACTGCATGTGAGAAAGTTCAGTAAATGGGCAAAAATGCTTTTTTCTTGATGTGAGAAAGTCATTATCATTATTATTATTGAGGCTGAATTTTTGTTATTATTAAGTTCCTTTACATATGGTAATGTTATAATTGGCTTACACGTTTCATTCAGAACCTGGATCAACAGAGGCATGGTAGTCATTATTTATTTGGTCCTAGTGAAATTAATGTGATTCAGGGGAAGAGCTCATTTAGTTTTGCAGATTTCCAGGGAATAGTCAAGCATCGTAATAATTCTTGACTTCATCATAGTACACCTGCCTATATTGATATTTGTTCAAGGGCAAAAGTACATCTGTTTTTGCGGATTTTGTTTTAAATACTCCTTCCTATTGAGATAACTTGTTTAAGTGAAAGGGCTCATCTATTTTTGCATACATATTCTCTTCTGAGCACTCCTGCCCATCCAGATAACTTGTTCAAGGGGAGTAGCTCCTCTATTTTTGTTCACTTTATTTTATGAAATTGAAAAGTTTAGTGCAAGGTGTCAGCAGGGCAGAGGATGAAAGCAAAGAGAATCAACAAATAGCAAAGTTCTAGTTGGAAGTGCTTTGTTGTGGCCATGATATATATTTCTATATTGTTAGTGTAGAAGGTTTTAGTGTTTATAATAGAATTTAAAGTCGAGGGCTGAGTTGCTGAACTTCTGTATCTTACACTGATCTTTGTATCTGAATTTGAGGCCTGAGTTTCCATGAACACAGCAATGTACCTCACTTTTTCATAATTAATATATTATTATGTCATTGACCAAAATCTATGTTGCTTGTTTCCACATGTAGTATTTCCTAAACCTGTATCAATATGCTTTTTACTTGCAATATATTCCAGAACCTGATATGGATCAACATATATTGATGAGCTTGAAAGAACACTGATATAGACAGAATTCAATAAACAGTAATAAATAAAGAATCAGTTCACAAAAAACAATAATAGACGAAGAATCAGAATGGTTTACAGTCCTGTATCATATCAGTTCACAAAAAACAGCAAACAGTAAACAACAAACAACTTTGGGTGATTGCCTCAATATACCAAAAAACCAACAAACATTTGTACCTAGATAGAACTAATCTGCCCCTGTAACACAGCAAATGGACAGTTTCATACAAAAAAAGCTGATGTAATTGTAATTTTCACAACCATATCACAAAAAACATTAATTCCAAAGAAAATCTCCCCCATTCTTGTTAATGTCTCAAAATTTTGGCTTCCTTATGTCAGGCATTCTGTTGTTTGTGAGGAATGCTGTCCAAGTAAGTCACCATGCTGTCCAAAGGAACAACATAATAAACCCAAGTAATATCACATTGAACAAATAAATTAAATAAAAAAGTCTTCAAAATTCCCTTTCTTTTCCACATTTCAACAGAGGCTACTATCTTTGCACTCATTTCTGCAAAAATAACAGAGGCTACCACATACAGGCAAGACTTGCCTCAAAAGAACGTCATTGATTGCACTCATTTCTGGATTTCAAAATATCTAAAAATGGCTAAAGGTTTTCAATCTCTTTCAAAATTTTGCTTTCTTTTCCTTCTTTATCAATCAGAAAGTCAGACTTCTGATGCCTAGAAGGAAGGAAAGGCTGGAAAACAAAAAGGCAGCCTTCAAATTCAATAGCCAAAACTGTTCTTACCAAAAAAAAAAAAAAAAACCAAAACTGTGAAGGATAATCTCAGGGTCACAACTCTACCTTCAATTCTAATCCGCCCTAAAACTAAAACAATGCAGAAACCAAATCCCCGAAGGTAGAACCCTCAAATTTGCCCTCCAAATATGGGGGCAGGGCAAATCCACCCTAAGAAAATGCAAAAACAAATGGCACCCCAAATTATTAATTAATACAAATACTCTTTTGTTTAACTGCTGATGTAATTATTGTAAAAAAAATCCATTTGTCCTACGATGAAATGGTATTTTCTTACGCTTGAAGGCTTACGTGTAC